CGTCTTCCCTCTGACACAGAGCATGACTGTATGCGACCGGAAAGATAGCTAGTATACTTTCTTCATAATCCGTATGCGGCCGGAAAAATAGCTAGCATACTTTCTTCAGGATCAACCCAAGGAGGGAGGTGGGGTTCATCAATCACACCCTGAGAAAGTTCGTCGCTCCTGATTAAAGGTACCTCTTCCGTTCATCCCTACCCTCTTCCCTCAAACACAGTGCATGACTGTATTAGCCCGGAAAGATATTAGCTAGTATACTTTCTTTCTGATTCGTACGGGGCCAGAAAAATAGCTACATACGTCCTTCAGGATCAGGGTCCTTGGTATTGGGGGAGGATGGCAGCGCCCTACGTCGCTTTTCAGCTCCAAACAGAGCTGCACGAATGAGGGAGTTCAGCCGAATAGAACGCCTGGTCATTATAACTATATTTGGGCCAAGTTTCCGTCTACATACGGCGATAATGAACAACCAGGTGTTCGACTGGGGTGAAGAAGATAAGGAGCAAGAGAGCTAGGTAGGGGGAACGGAGAGCTAGACTAATCATCGCTGTCACAAGGATATCAGAGCGCAAAAGCGAAAAAAAAAAACAGAAAGAAAACAAGAAAAAACTAATTCGTTTTTTTATCTTCTTCCTTACAACTACTCCTGTTCAGAACCTCCTGCGTACAAGGCCGCCCACGTGGATGTAGGTTGAGCGGCGGCTGCCCCCACCCCCGTGTGTCATATCGACCCATTTGCACAGAGCCAAAAGGCAAAGAGGCAAGAAAAGAAGAAGGGAACAGCCAAACATAACAAAACAGGAGGAAAACAGGCAGAGATTCAGTCAAAAAAAGGACAAGGGAAGCGGAAGGACTATCAGCCAAACAAAGCAAATGACACCTCCCATCTTTTTTTCTTTTCTTCGGCAATTTGTTCTTGTTGTGCTTCGTTTTTTCTTCTTCTTCTTCATCCTTTTCTACCAAAACAATTTCTGCCATATCCACAGTAAAAAAACGGAGCCATACAGTAGGTCCACAAAACGAAATACCCCTTTGACTATATCCATCGTCAAACAGAGCTGCCCGGTAAACCGTAGTAGGCAGAGAGGGAGGGAGGGAGAAGAGGACAACAAAAACGAGGGGCTGTGACAGACTGTTTCGTTGGAGTTTCCCTGCCTACTCATCAGAAGGCTGAACCCAATCGCCATGGAGAACAGACCGGTGAGCCGTAGGCACAAAGGGATGTCAGGAACAGACCGCTGAGCTGTAGGCACAAAGGGATGACAGGACAAGAAACAGGAGGGGGGCTGTGACAGACTGTTTTGTCGGATTGTCACCAACTCGTCAATCAGGAGAGCCTGAACCCTGTACAGTCGGCGGCAGAGGCCCCTAACCGACGACGGGTACTGGGAGTGGTTAACCCTGGCGATGGTTAGGGCCTGAACCCTATACAGTCCGCAGGGGCCCCAAACCGAGGAAACTCCGACGAAACAGTTTGTCACAGCCCCTCCCTCGTTTGTTGTCCTCTTCTCCCCCTCCTCTGCCTACTACGGTTTGCCGGGCAGGTCCGGTTACCCCGGAACTGCCCGGTAAAGCGTAGTAGGCAGAGAGGGAGGGGAGGGAGAAGAGGACAACAAACGAGGGAGGGCCTGTGACAAACTGTTTCGTCGTAGGTTCACCAACCGACTCGTCAGGAGGCTGAACTCCCAACAATCTGCACAATCCCCAAACTGATTACACTGTAAGTGATAATCCACCTTAATCCCGGTTGTGGTTAACCCTCTCTGACTACGGTTTACTGGGCAGCTCGTTTGACGATATATACTCATGATTGCGGTGTTATTATTGTCGGGGGTAGGGGAGGGGGGAAGGTGGGGTGTTGAAATGTGGGAGAAGGGGTATGGGGACGAGAAGGAGTGGGAGGGAGGAGGAGGAGAAGCGAGACAAAGCAATGAAGCCACCAGCCCCCCTAACTAAACGAGGGAAGTATATATATCTTGAGTAAAGCTCCAACAAAGGAACATACTGAACGCAGCGCTGAATGAAAAATTATAGTGCCCAAGTAATGGGACTCTTTATTACGAGATTGATTGTGAGGATTATCATGATCCTTCTGATGATCTAATTAATCACTATGATTAATTACTGTCATTAATTACTATAATAATGATGATGGATCCGATGATTATCATGCATGATGATGATGGTGATGATGATTATAGTGATAAGAGGACGAGGGGAGGACGAGGGGAGGACGGGGAGAGGACGAGGGGAGGATGAGGAGGACTACGAGGAGGAGGAGGAGGAGGAGGAAAACAAGCAGGAACGTCGTATTGTTCTGAGAAAGGAATGTTGGAGTTTCTGTTTATTAGTGAGCGAAAGAAACAAGGGTCGATAAATCAAGGAAGAGATTTTTGTAAATTCGGAAAAGGAAGACCGACATCCATTTCATTGTTTAAAAAAAAAAAAAAGGACACCTATTTGTTGATCTGAATGAATCCCGGGAATATTCCAATATCAATATTACCTTTCAATTCGGTTTCGATACCAATCCAAAAAAACAGAAAAACAAAAGAAAAGCCTCGATACCAATCTGGCGCTCGCTAAGGGATAAAGAGACATTATTACTTCACAATCATAATGATTAATTCTGTTTAAGTCTCGCTGTAGAGGGAGAAAAAAAAAGAAGGATAAATCAGGTTTGGCAGGGAGGGGGGGGGGAAATGGATAAATCAGGTTTGACTCTGTTTAGGTTTCCTCTTCTCCCGCTCGTTCCACTCCCCTCCCCCACCCATACCCGCCCACCCCCCCCCCCCCCCCCCCCCCCCCCCCCCCTCTTGGCGCTAAGGGATACTACCTGTATCATATAAATTTACAATAATGGATAGGATACTTCATTATCCTCTTCTCATAATTAAGCATCATGAGCTCTCTCACCGCGCTCCGCTCGGCTGCACTATTCTCAGTGAGACAACTGCCTCTGCGGACAGACAGCCAGGCAGACCGTCCCGACTCGCTCCCCTCCCTCCGGTCCGCACCTGCCTGCTGCCTTGGAGACTACTCACGCTAGGGACATTTTCGACTAAGCTGTGGACGTTATAGCGGTTAGATACATCAAGGTCGAGCTGTAATTGCGACCAGATACATCCAAGAAAGTCCTTGTGTGAGCATGCCCTTAGAGGAGTTCACACTGTGGTAGCAGGCAGCAACTCGAAGCAGCAGTGCAAACAGGAGGAGACGAGGAGAAAGCAGCACTACGACAAGCTTCAAGGGGGGCAACGGGAAGAAGGAAAAGGAGAGAGGGGGGACACGGGGGGGGAAAGGGGGGCCGGGGGGGGAGGGGGGGAGGAGGAACGGAGAAGGGAGGAGGAAAAGGTCTACAAGGGAAGGAAGGACGAAGAACGACTCCTGTGACAAAAACATTACATCAGCTTCTTCTGGAAATTCCTGGCAGGAGCGGAAATTTCCCGACCTTCCTTCTAAGAACCCCATCCACCGCCCTGAAAAATTGAACCTTCTCTCTCTCTCTCTCTCTCTCTCTCTCTCTCTCTCTCTCTCTCTCTCTCTCTCTATCTATCTATCTATCTATCTATCTCTATCTATCTATCTATCTATCTATCTATCTGTGTGTGTGTGTGTATCCAGCATATCTCTGAGAGAGCATCATCACCGGGGATGCAGAAGGGGAAACGACAAAAAGGGAGAGGGTAGAGGGGACAAAGGAGAAGGATAGCAACAGGAGGAGGAGGAAGAGGACAGCGGGAGTCATCCAGGAAAGAGTAAACCGGGATGCGTGAAAAAGACCCCGTGCGGCGCCTTAATCGTCATCGACATCATGATCATTACGTTGAGACGATAATATTCATATGTATATATGCATACAATTGAAACATATATACATATATTACATTCACATTTCATCCCACAGAGCTGTTCGCTCAGCCGCTGCACAGGACAAGAAACGGGGGTTGTGACAGATTGCTTCGTCGGAGTTTCACCGACTCATCTTTTCATGCGTACGTAGCATTTATTATTCATGCCATACATATTTACCTTGGTTTTTTCGCTTTGGCGCTCTGATATTATGTGACAATATATACAACCTGACGAGTCGTGAAGCTCCGACTCATCAGAAACAGTTTGTCACAGCCCCCCCCCTCGTTTGTTTGTTGTCCTCTTCTCCCTCCAGAGCTGCCCCTCGTTTGTTTGTTGTGCTGTTCTCCCTCCCCTCCCTCTCTGCCTACTACGCTTTACCGGGCAGCAGTGTTTGACGATATATAGTGAATCGGAGCGCGAAGGCGGAAAAAGACAAAACAAAAAAGAGGGAAAGAAGGAAGGAAAGCTCCGCCTGTTCATCACCTCTTACGTACAAGGCCAGCCACGTGGATGACAGGTTGAGCGCTGGCTGCCCCCATCCCCGTGTGTCACAAGGACCCGCTGCGTGCCTCTTACGTACAAGGCCAGCCACGTGGATGACAGGTTGAGCGCTGGCTGGCCCCATCCCCGTGCGTCACAAGGACCCACTTGCACGCAGCCAAAAGGCAAAGAGGTAAAGAAAAGGAGGAAACCAAACCTCACAGAGGCAAAAGAATTTCTTCTTCTTCTTCTTCCCCTTTTCTTCCTCTACTTCCTCTTCTTTGTTCCTTTCTTCTTCTTCTTCTTCTTCGTCGTCGTCGTCGTCGTTTCCTTCTTCTTCTTCATCTTTTTCTTCGTTTCATTCTTCTACTACTTCTTCTTCTTCTTCTTTTCTTCTTCTTCTTTTCTTCTTCTTCTTCTTTTCTTCTTTTCTTCTTCTTCTTCCATTTCTTCTTCGTCTTCTTCTTCTTCTTCTTCTTCTTCTTCTTCCTTTTTCATATTCTTCTTCTTCTTCTTCTTCTTCACCATCTGCCCCCTCTCGACGTCGCGTTGATGCTAATCTGCCGGGTTCTTTTATCTTACCGAAAGCCTGCTCTGGTACGTCGACAGCGTTAGTCAACCATGCGCCGACCGCGCCAGATCAGACCCAGCTTTCCAGATGTGACCTACGATAACAAAAAAGAGGGCAATGATAAGCACATACATATCGTCAAACAGAGCTGCCCGGTAAACCGTAGTAGGCAGAGAGGGAGGGAGAAGAGCACAACAAACGAGGGAATGTGACAGACAGACAGACAGTTTGGTCGGAGTTTCACCGACTCATCAGAAGTTATGTAGTGGAGCAGGAAGTACCCATAGGGCCTCGCTCGACTACTCTCCAAATGTGCAAAACGAGAACGAATCTTCCGCTAGAACACGGTAAGATACACCGCCATATTTTTTTGTCTTTTGTGCATGTGGAGAGTAATGGAGCGAGGCCCACACCCGTCTGGTTACTAGAAGACACATTTGCCCCTCGGTGTGAAGAAGGAAGGAGACAGGAAAATAGGTAAAAGGGTGGGGAAAGAGCATGAGTGTGTGTGTGTGAGTGCAACACTCTGCAACACCTATTTCATTCCTGCCCTATTATTGTCGAGAAGGCTGCTGGTCTAACCTTCGTCCCTTCCCCCGCTTCGCACTCACACACACTCACACACACACACACTCATGATCTTCTTCTCCCCACCCTTTTACCTATTCTCCTCCTGTCTCCTTCCTTCGTCTCACCGAGGGGCAAATGCGTCTTCTAGTAATCAGACGGGTTGTCTACGTGCATGCACGTTTACCCTGTCATCCTCCGCAACATCTCTTTCATCCCTGCCCTATTAGTGTTGTCGGGAAGACCACTCTACCCCCAATCCCCTCCCCTCTGCTTCGCGCACAGTCTCATGCGCTGCTTCTCCCCACCCTTACCTTTTTTTTCCTGTGGCGTGCAAATGTGTCTTCTACCGTCTTCCCCCGAATAGAACGTACGGTCATTATAGCCGTATTTGGCTCACCTTTCAGTCCAGATGCAGCAGAAATGACCGTACGTTTTATTCGGCGGGAAGAAGGTAGTAACCACACACGGGGCTTTGGGTACTTACCGCTCCCTCGCATCAACGTGGGGCCCGTTGCACACAGTCAAAGAAAAAAGACAAACAAAAGAAAAGAAGGAGAGAAAAAAAGAGGCAAAAAGAGAGTACAACCACCGCATCCACCTCCGCTCTTCGTCTATAATCTTTCTCGCTAATGCGTGCTCCGTTCGTATTTCTCTCACCATACATCACCATCAATCATAATCCCTCATTATCATCGTCACTATCATCATCATCACCATCATCATCATCATCATCATCATCATCATCATCATCAATAACAGCACAACTTCCATATCATCATAATCACCCACTTCTGGTCGATAACATTTACTGTATTATTACACTCAACTCAAAGCCGGAGGCGCTCGCACAGCCTGTCCTCGGACCAATCAAGAGGCTGATATAAAATGAGAAAGTGATTGCATACTATAGTTCAAACATACACAGCAGATGAGAATATGATTCAAACACAGTAAATGAGCGGAGATGGTGAAGGTAGGGAGGAAGAGGAGGAAGAGGAGGAAGAGGAGGAAGAGGAGAAAGGGAGAAAAGGAGAGAAGGGGTGAAAAGTAAATAAGGAGATGCTAACATGAACTGCATGAAAGGCACATGTTCGAGGCCTCTACTTTCCAAACGGAAGTTATACATGTTCCTAATTTCGTCTGGGACCCTCATCTCGTTATCGAAATCAACGGTCATTCAACAAGTACTATCTCCTCCTCCTCCTCCCCTTGTTCTCCTCGCCCCCTTCCTCTCCTCCTTCGCTTACTCTCCTCCTCCCCTCCCTCCTCCTCCTCCCCCCATCCTCCTTGCGTCTCATGGACTTTCTGCAACTCGTGCTCTCCCTCATACCGCCACTCGTCCTCTCCTTGTCTCCTCCTCCACATCCAAATCTTCTACACCACCCATTCTGCGCCTCCTTCGTGCGTGTCCTTCACAACCTATAATGACTATCTTCTCAGGGGCACGCGGATTACAGGAGGGAGGGGGTGAGGGGGAGGGGAGGAAGGAGGAGAGAGTGGAGGGCGCAATCACTCTTTTCCTACACTTCCTCTCGTCTTCGTCATCGCCCTGGTCGTTCTACCATAACAGGAATTAACAGGTTCGTGCTTATGCACCACCCACTCTCGCCCTCCTTCCCCCTTCCCTCCTTCCTTAGTCCTTGTCTTTTACAACTTATAACCATTATCTTCAACAGAGGCCATATGAAGGAGATGCGGTAGGGGAGGGGAGGGGAGGCGAGGGAGAAATCACTCTCATCCTGCAGTTTCCCACTTCTTCGTCATCACCCTGCTAGTTATAGCGCAGCAGGATTAGAGGCGAGAAGGGTAGAGAAGGCGAAGGAACAAAAAGGACGATTGAAAACAACGACGACAAGAGCAACTAGGCAGGAGGAGGAGGAGGAGGAGGAGGAAGAGGAGGAAGGAGGACGAAGACGAAGGGAATGAAGGAGGAGGAGGAAGACGAGGGGAATGAGGTGGAGGCTATGAAATATGAGCTAATTAGCCGGGGGGGGGGGGGAGGAATACCGCAAAAAGAAGAGGAAAGGAGGACAGCGAAGACACGCCGAGGAGCTGGTGACAGGGCGAAGATGGACGCTTTACCCGCAGGATGGATAACAGCAGGACGAACAGTCGCCAAAGGAAGACAAGTATGTCGGAGCCAAAGCAAGACAGGGGTATCTGAACAACAGACACGCGGGCACAGACTCCCTCCCGACCAGGGGACCGCGCGACCAGGGAACCGCGCAACCCGTGCTGCTGGCACCGCCGCCGTCCAACGAGCTGTGTGATAGCGGAGCAGGCGGAGAGGAGGAGATGCAGGCGGCCCCGCCGTACGCACGGCAATGACCCGCGCCTTCGACGACGCCAAGGGGAACCTGGCGGGCTGACAGAGCTCACGAACGGCCTCCTTTCGGCCAGCGGGCAATGACAACCAACCCCTCCTGCCCCTCTTCCCCTTGCTCGCGTGGCCGTGAGGGCAATGACGATCCACCCCCTCACGGGCGTAGGGTCGTGGTCGTGGCCAGCACGCCCCACCCCTGCCACAATCTCGCTACGGTAAGGATCAAAGCCCACCTGGCACGGCGATGTTCACATACATACTATCAAAGTACGGACCTGTCCGCCAGTATGGCCAGGGTCGTGCTTTCCGAGAATGACAATAGCACCCGAGGGGCTTCGGCAGGCGAGGGTCAGGCCCCGCTCGTACGATGCTTACTATGCTATTGAAAAGCATGGACCTATCTCCTGTTACGGCCAGATTCGTGATCTCCAAGCATGAAAATAGCACCAGTGGGGCATGGGTAGGCAAAGGGTCAGGCCGCACTGGTGCGATGTCGTGCTTTCCACGCATGAAAATAGCACCAGTCAGGAGCCACCCATTGGCTGCGGGGGGAGGTCCATGTTCCGCTGGGCGCTGGATTCCTGGTCGAAGTTTTGGTAAGGGCCGGCGGATGAAGGCGATCCAGGGCGGGCGAGTGTGCAGAGGGGCACGCGTACCGAAATGTTCACAGCGCGCCATGAAACAAGAGAGCGAGCCCCGGGGGTGCGGCACATGGCGGGCGTAGATGCAGAAGACCATCTCGGAGGAGAGCCCTCCGATATGCGTGAGTCGTTTGTTTCCTTTTTTTTTTTTTTGTTTCCGTGCGTCGTTTTGTGTGGTCGGCGTTCTTTTCTTTTTTTTCGTACGTTTTCTCGCATCGTTCTGTGTTCCCTTTATTTTTTTAACGTTTTCGGGCATTGTTTATTTTTTGTTTTTTTTCCCTAGCGGCTGTCGTTTTGTGCCCCTCTTTCCCTTTTTTTTTTTTTCGCTCTTTGACCACAGGCAGGTCCGGTTGGTTTTCCCGCTGTAGTGGGCGACCCGCTTACCCACAGCCATGCATGGGTAGCCACACCCACCCACCCGCCCACACCCACCCACATACCCACCCACACGCACGCATACCCATGTATATTTTTTTATCGTCAATTTGGCTTTTGTTTTTTGTCGTTGTTCGGATTTTTTTTTTTTTTTTTCCTCCCTYTTTTTTTTTYTTYTTTTTCTGTGGGTCTTGGTGAGTAGTGGAGCCAGGGCGTTTTTTTTCTTTTCTTTTTTTTTGTCGTTTTTTTTTTCTTTTTTTTATCGTTCTTTTTTTTTGTCGATGAAAGGGTCGAGCAAGCAAGCTTACTCAGGGCGAGATCCCACTAGCAAAGAGGGTGGATGAATGCCCGAATCTGGATGCGTTTGTGGAAAGGTGCAGAAAAACGAGACTGAACTACTTTTCTGAATTTTTTTCGTAAAGGCATCCGAATTCAGGCGCTTAATCCAATCCTCTTTGCTGGTGGGACCTCACCACTGTTTGACCCGTCCGTTTTGAATTGGGCCTAACTCGAAAAAAAAGAAAAAAAAGAAAAAAAAAACTAGCACAAGATCATGGTAAGATGCACACCCCACAATTTTGTCTTTTCACATTTCC